TGTTATTTGAGTATTGTGTAAAATTATGATTTATAACCCTTTGAAATATTCCATTATATAAACCTTTGAAGTATTACGTTACATAGTATTACATTACATAGACCTTCAAAGTATTACGTTACATAAACTTTCGAAGTATTACGTTATATAGACCTTTGAAATATAAACCTTCAAAGTATTACGTTATATAAACCTTTGAAATATAAACCTTCAAAGTATTACGTTATATAGACCTTTGAAATATAAACCTTTGAAGTATTACTTTACATAGACCTTCGAAGTATTACGTTGCGTAAAACTCCGTGGGCCTCATAGAGTTATGAAAACCTACACAACGTAAATTTTCGAAGTACTCCGTTATATTTAAATTTGCGATGAAATTGGTGGTTTGAATACTGCTAGAGAATTCTAAGGTAAGGTAGCTGCTGAAATTGGTAGAATTGGAGCAGGAGTCGCAATAGGTGCTGATATTATTCTGAATGGAACATGGAATGAAGACTGGTCTATAGCTAGTGATGAACCTGTAGATAATGCACCAGTAGCGCCTAATGCTAGAGACGTTCTTCCTGATTTTACTATTATTCCTGGTATTAAGCTTGGTCAACTTTTATATCTGTTTAATCTGTTTAGAATTGCTTATACAACAGTTGCACACTTAAAATAAATGGCAGTTTTTGGTCAACTCATACAGGGTGATATGTCAGTTGAGCAATTTTCCACTAGAATTAAAAAGATTAGTAACTAGCTGAAATGACTTCTAAATAGCAAAGAGAGCAATTTATTCGTGGTCTATCTCCGATAAATCAATATAATCTTTGAATGATGACCAAATTTCATGATACATAGGATAATATTATATAAGCTCTAGCTAAAGCAGAAAAATATATATTATCTCAAAAGAGCGTATTATTTTCTTTTCTAATTTTTCCGGCAGTCAATTTATATGCAGATACTAACAGATTAGGAATGACTAAAAATGAAATCGAGAGCTTGGTAAAAAATACAATGATATCCTCAGAACCTTAATGGCCTCAACAAGCGACTTCATCACAATCCCAATCACAACTTGTAGGAATGCATAAAAATTTACGAGATAAGAATATAGGCAGATTTTTATCATAGATTACAGAAAAAATACCAGAATTTTTCCTGTTCCTAATTCCACTTTAACACTAAAGCCAAATAAAGGTTGAGATTGATTCTAATGATAAACTTTCTAAACTCACAAAAAGGCAATTAAAGTTGCATGTAGCTAAGGCCATTAAAAAGGCTGTAAAAACACAACATAAATGTTCTATCTGTGATAAGCCTGGACATAATTCTCGCAACTGCTCTCAAAAGAAAAAAAGAAAAAAAAGAAGTCTAAAAAAGGTAAGGTTAATCTCGCTTTAGATTCAGATTCAGATTCAAATTCAGATTTTTCCTCCGATAGCTTATTTAGTAATAGTTCTAATTCTGATTCAAATTCTGATTCAGATTCTTCTGATTCCAAAAGTAAGCTTAATTTTAATATGGTTAAGACAAAAAAAAGTAAAGCAGAAGTCTAGCTCCAAGAAATCATTCTCAAAGAAGCAGTCTAAGAAAAAATCTAAGTCATATAAATCTGTTAAGCAAACTAACAAGACAGATATTAAAAAGCCTGTATTTAACTCTAGTAATACTAAACAAAGTGAGCAAAGCACTTTTGAAAATACAATCCGCAAGATTATTCAAAGTGAACTTAAATTAATTTTTCCTGCACTTATTACTTAAGATTCTAAAGCTGATACGCTAAAACAAGCACTTCCTATTCAGGAGCAAAATGATGAGATTCCAATTACCAAAGATATATTGCCAGATCTAGAGAAGAACAAATATTTAGATGATCTAATGGAGATTGATTTTATTTAGAAAAGGAGCTGAAAATAAGTGTTACAACTATAGAGTGTAAAATTAAACGTTTGAAGATCCCTGCTATGACTTGATTCTGAAACAGAACCCCCTATCATAACAGAAAATATTGTTAAGCATGTGGAAGCTAAAATTGATAAATCTGAAACACATAATCTCAGTAGTATTGCTTCAGTTCTGATTGAATCTGTTGGGGTTATTCGTAATTTACCTATTACTCTAGCCCCAGGTTGTACTATCTATGAAGATTTTGTTATTGTGAGATATCACAAACCTACACTAATATTTTTCAATCAACTTTTAAAAAATGAAAATACAAATAATAAATGAAGTGATAAATAACAAAAAAAACTTTTAGAATTACATTAATTATCAGCAAAATGGATTTTTAAACTTTCTTAACTTCAGATAGAATTTCACAAGACTTACAAGACTTAAATAAGGATGGTATATTAAAAAAAAAGTAAGCTATGAAAGTATGGCAATTTATATGAAAGAGCTTAAGAAGGCATTATTTACTAGTGTTCAATCAAATTTGAAAATCATGAGACACTATAATAATCTTTACGAGTGATATGAGTGATGCTAAAGTCAAGTTTTTAATTTTTGTTCAAGTGCATGACCTTTTGCTACAGCCTTTTCCATTCCATTTTATGCCTTCTTAAACACTTCTAGAGCATCTTCAGAATAATGGGTGATAGACTGGAAGATGGTGGTATCTTTGACACTTATTCTTTTTTTATCTCTAATACTCCACCTATCTTTTTCAATAAATTCTTATCATCAGAGATATGAACAGACATGAACTTGGATTTCTTTTTGTTTGCCTGCGTTTGCATGGAACTACTAGAGGAGGAATTATTGTCATGTGAAGATTTCTCATTAGAATTTTAGCTAGAAAGTACTGAATAAAGAAGTGAATTTTTATTATTAGATATGTGAATAGATTCTAATATTATACGCTATTTCTTAGTTGATTTAGGAGGTCTTTGATTATCAATGATTTTTTGATATGTTATTGATTCTATATGATATTTTTTACACATAATATACTGAGCATCTGGAATATTATTCTAAGTATTTCTAATTTCTTTGATAGCTTCAAGTGACAAGTGTCGGGCATCTGATCTAAGAAATTTACAAGTATAGGTTATTTGTTTTTGCTCATACCAATTTTATATGTTTTTAATATATTACCAATAAAAAATCAATAAAAAATTAATAAAAAACTTATTCACTATTTATTTGATATCAATTTTATACTAATATAAATACCGCTTTCTATCATGCAAGTCTGCTATAACTTTGATCCAAATAGAAATAAGTATAGAACACGTACAGCATAGGTACTTTATTGATTTTAAATTGGTTAATTATTGGTACAATTTTAATTACGACCTTTTTTATGCCTAAAACTAGAAAAAAAATCCTATTTTATTTGAAACTTTTTAGCTAAAAAGAAGAAAGTTCAGCATATAAGTCATATATGCTTTCAATCTTTTTATTCCAATCAAAATTGTCTGGAAGTTATTGAATGCGATCAGGTTGACCAATTGCATTTCTATGCCAAATTTTATAAACTTGTTTCTTTGCAATATGGTGCTTTTTAGCCATTACTGTTACAGTATTTTTAACCTTTTCACAGGAATTACAAATTCCTTTAGTGATTTAGGAGATAAATATATAGCTCCTGCTTGATAATATCTCTTTGATATGTATTTCATTATTAAACCTTTCTAATATAAATCTTTTAATCAATTATATGATTCTATTTTTTTTTTTCAATTGCAGGTAGATCATAGCTAATCTGCATACTATGAAAGATTTTAGTTCAGGCTATCGTCTTGGTAGTGTCCATAAAATAAAGCTTGAGAAGGCATTACACATTAGTAGCAAATCTGTTTCTAAGTTTACTAATAAATATAATAACTTACTAGAGGTATATTCAAATTTTGAGAAAAGATCCAATAGAAAGAAAGTCAAATTGAATCATAATTTAGAATAGGCTGACACTAATATTGAGAAACTCACTAAGCGTATACATAATCTTACAAATGAGATAAGACTGTTGCATTTGGAGAAAGATTCTCTAAATTCACGGGTTATTCATAAATGTACCTACCTCTTTTGCAGAGTTTAAGAATAAAGTCGCTATAAAATCAAAAGAGATAAAACTTCTCCAATTGAAGTTAAAAATGTTAGAGAAGAATTATTCCTCAGCTCAAATGAATTTATCTGTAATGGATTCTCTCAGATTTGAATTGGAACAGGCGAGAAGTGATTTGTCTTCAAAATAATATGAAATGGAATGTATGAAAAAAGGGAAAGAATTATCAGATATCATGTACAAACGGGCATTAGATTCCTTGTCTTCAGCATAATCAAATTTAACGAGGAAAATTCTCATCTCTGAGAGATAATCTCAAAAAAAGATAATGAAATAACAGATCTTTCTTTCTAATTCTCTGCCTTCGCCTATGAACAATTTATCGCAAAAGCTACCAGATTAGGTCTGTAACAATTTAAAACCTCTCGTTTATGAGCGTGGTCTTGAAGATAAAGTTATAGAACTCGATAAAAGTTTTGCTAGAGAAAATATATTAGAGGCTTTACAAGAGCTATTACCCTGGAATGGAATGGTCTTGAGAAGCTAGACAGATACCCTATCCAATCAATCTACAGTCAAACCTTGATATAGTGAACTCTTGATATAGCGAATTTTTAAATCAAATATATTAAAATTACCTTTACTATAGTGAACTAGCCAATTAAAATCTTTAAAAAATTCATTATAAGCTTATAACAAAATTGATATCCAGATCCTAGAATTCGTTATATCAAGAGTTCACTGTATTCATAGTCGACTAGATCATTCTGAAAAGTATATTTCACATGAAGGAGTTGCAAAGTAATTAGGTAGTATAGAAGCAGTTCCAGTTACTCCTATTATTGCGAGCTCCTTAATGTTGTTAATGTTAATATATATTATACTTACCTTACTACTTCTTGCAATTATATGGTTCACGATCAGGAGAAGGATATAGAATTTGTGAAGCATTAATCTAAAAGAAAAAGTAATACCGATTATTCTTCTAACTGGAACTATTTTTATCATTTCCGATCATTTTTGAAGCTGAGCTGTATGATCAGAGACCAGAAGTTTAAAGTGATTGTCCTAGGCTAGAAGTTTGAAGATAGGAATTGAAGTTAGCTGATATTATTTATTATACGAGAAAAAATATGTAAATAATATTATGCGAAGCGTCTTAATGGCTAAGTTTTCTAGCGAAGGTGTATCAATTTTAATTAAGAGTACTTAACCATATAGTTAGATGGTTTCAGGCGAATTCTTAAAATACCTAGAAAGTTTTATTGAAGACTCTTGATATATTTTATAAGCCAGTTTTTTGCCTTTTTCTAGGAATATTTATCAATCTGTTTTTCCTTATATCTGAATCTTTAATCTGCATTATTTTATCTGATGAGAGTAGTAGAAACATATCGTTCTCATTGATAAAACGTACACACATTCTTACTGTTTGTTCTAATAGTGGCTGATATCTATCTTCATATTAAACTCTTTTGCAATTTCCAGAAACTCTATGTAATCACCCTTTTTTATCGATTTTAAATCATCTTTTTTATAATGAGGACCATCATTCACAATGACATAGCTAAAGCGAAAGCATTTAAAGTTATAAGATGTTTTAAATTAGAGTATAAAATATCAGCGCAGGCAATTAAGATTCTGGATAATAAATTATCATGAGAAATTTTATAACTATCTAAGAAGGGAATTTAGGATTTATAGGATCGGGTTTCTGCCTCATATTAATATCTAGAACAAGATGAAGAGACAGGTTACCATCAATACATTCATGAGAATCAGGTAATCCATAAATTTCAGAAGGATAATCAACAACTGTAAAACCCTTTTCAGATACTCAAATAATATATTTATCAAAAATCTCTTTAGGATGATAAGTGCCTAAAAGAACGATATCATCTTTACCATTAGTTTCTAATAAATGATGAAAATATGTATGATCTTTATAGCCAGGCTCAAAATCAAGATCTGCTACATCTGAAAAGAGCCTTATTGCATCATTTATTTCTTCAAGATTAGGTTTGAAATTGTTTTGTGCAAGTAGCATGATAGGTATGTAAAGGAAACGCAAAGGTAGAATAATATATAGAAAAGAAAATAAGAAATTATGCTTTTGCATCTCACTGATGATATGAAAAAACTCAAAAGAATACAAGAAAATAGAGTATGAAAACTATAAAACCTGAACTGATTCAGCATTTCATACCTTACCTGACAATCAAAAAATGGAAAATATATGAATTGCAAGTTTAGCACTTCGTATCTCAACTCAGCAATCGAATGGGTCAAATATGACATATCTCTAGTAATTAAAAGAAAATAAATATGGATTACAAGTTCAGCATTTCGTGTCTCATCTGGCAATCAAGAAATAACAATCAAGAGAAAAATATATAGATTACAAGTTCAGCATTTTGTGCCTTAACCCAACAATCAAATAAAAATATAATAGTAAGATTGCAAGTAAGTTTAGCATCCAAGCTGACGTAAAAGTAGCAAAATAATAAAACTATTCAAGCTCTTTGCTAGTTCCTCACAATCTCCATGACACTATCATGACACCAAATTTGGATTCTCAAATTACATGTTCAAAAGATCAGCCAAAGTTATACCATAGAGCTAACCAAAATTAATCGCAAATTTATTGCGTCACCCAACACATTTTTTATCACAATTTAGCATTTTAACAGGTAATCAAGCAGGCATAAAAAAGAAGCATTCTCAATATCTTAACAGATCACCAAACAGGCTCAGAGGCAGGTAAACAAATGGATAGCTTTTTAGGAACAAAAAGAATACAGAGTAATGTAAACACATGGATAGTTTCTTAATAAAAAAGTCGTAAATAAGCGAGAAAATATACTCCATCAGATTATAACACTACTATTAGATTATACAATAACCACACTAATAGATTGTGACATTACTGACCTACTATAACATTATATAGCAGAAATTAATTAAAATAGTAGTTAGAAAGCTGTAAAGATAACTATATGAATCCACTTATAGATTATATTATCACATCAAATTATGACATCAGATTATGACGCCACCACTAGATTGTGTCATTAAATCATACCACCATTATTAGATTACAGTATCACCATTAGATTATACAACCACCATTAGATTATATCACCACTATTAGATTATATCACAATTATTAGATTATGTCATTACTATCATAATCTAACTCAAGTCGCCAGAGGATCTTTGATATAATTATATCAAAATCCTTCGATAACTATATAACCTTTAAAGTTGTTTATAAAATCTTAATTCATAAATCTTAAAACTATATTCCTTATTAATCTTACATTTATATTAATTTTTTTAATCATTAGTATCAAAAAATAATAATAATATATATATATTACTTATTTTTTAATAAATACAATTAAATTTTTATTATTTATTATTATAAAAGTTTTATAGTAGAAAAGAAGGAAATTCTAAAAAAAAATTAAAATTTATTTTATAAATTAAATATAATTTTTTTAGAAAATAAATTCAGATTTAATATTACAGCTAATTTTATAATTTATGGATCATTAATAACTTTTCAATTATATTCAGTTGTAATATTTTATAGTAATTTTATTATAAAATATTTTTAAGTTTGCTTTTTTTTATTGTAAAATATTTATAAAAATTTCTTATAAAATTTTTTTAATTTAAATATTAATTTATAAGATAGAAAATTTTATTTAATAGAATTTTATAAAGTAATTAAAAAATTTAATAATATTATAATAAAAGTTAAAATTAGATTAAATATATATGATAATATCTTTTAATAAATAATAAATATTTATAATTATAAATTAATAAGAATTATATTTATAAAATTTAATAAATAATTTTATATATTACAAATTGATATAATTTTGAATATAAAATAATTATTGAAAATATATTTAAAATAAAAAACTGAAAATATTATTTTAAATATTATTAAAGATAATACTTCTATATATAATATAATACTATATAGGAAACAATTAATAAAAAAATCTAAAATTTTTACTTATTTTGATTATTAAGCTAATTTATATATATAATTGAGATTAGTTAAATGGTCTAATAAAATTAGATTTTGATAAAATTTAGATTTTTTTTTATTGAACATGTTCTATTAAAAATATTAAATGATTCTAAATGATAGACAAAATTAAAATTATAAGTTATTAAAGTCTAATCATTTACCTATAATAAGTAATTTTTGATTATAAATAACTTTTAAAAAAAATATGAATTTTGAAATCAATTTTTTATAGAATTATTAGAATAGAATTTAGTTTTTAAGACTAAGTCTTAAGTTTTAAAAATAAAGATTCTGAATTTTCACATAAGTTTATTATATATTTTTAATAAATATTTAATTAATATATTATTATTAAAAAGTAAAAATATAATGTTAGTAAAATAAAAATCTTTTTTAAAATTAATAAATTTAATAGGATTTATAGAACGAATTATTTAGAATTATTTAATATCCATAATTTTCATATTAATTAATTAATTTATTTATTTATTATAATTATTAATTAAATAAACTTTAAACTAATATTTTAATATATTTATCATCTTTTTATAAATAAATTTAATATATTAGAAAAATTTAAGGATGAAACTGCTAAGAAAAATCAAATTTACTTTTATATGATTTTTAGGCTAAAATATGTTTAAATTTAGTATTCACTCATTTTTAATTTTTTTTAGCAGTTTTTTTCCTTTTTGTATTACAAAGATTTCATATAAAATATGAACTAGAAAAATGAAATTCTGTGACTTTTTTAATTAAAGTTAAAATTTTTATTTTATATTAATGTTGAATACATAAGTTTTAATTAATTAAAGTTTATAGTATATTAACTTATGTTTTATATTTAATTTAAAAATAGATTTTAAAAAGGATTTTTATGATTAATCTTCTAAAAAGAATATATGACTAATACTGTTAAATTAAATAAATAGTTATATTTATATTTGTCTTTATAATTTATGTCATATTTTATATATTCTGGTATCATAATAATATACTTATTATATATTATTAAAAAGTTTATTTGTTTGGTTCTAAATTGTTTAGTATAAGGATATTTTTTAATAATAACCATTTTAAAATTGTAATAATTTTTTATAGATTTAATAGATTTAAAGAAATTAATAAATTAGTTATAAAGTATTTTATTTTGATTTTTTTGATTTTTTGAGATGATTAAAACTAAAGTTATATTTATATAAAATTTTAAGAAAACCTTTTTCATATTGAATAATACAAATATAATACCATTTGCATATTGGAGGAAAAGAAAAAAGAAAGGAGAATAATGTGAAAGGAAAGATTCATATTAAAAGGATAGGATTGATACATTAGAATTATATATAAAATTGCTTATAATTTAGTTATAATCTCAAAAGATCATCAATAAACTAAAATATTATGAATAGAATTTTGAGTTAAATTAAGTTATAGTTAAAAATTTGCAAATTAAGTTGAATCAAAAAATTTTCAACTTAACTAAATTAAATTTAGCTTAAAACATTATATTAATATTTAAATATTTTTTTTTAGAGTATCTTATTATTACATTCATTTTAAAAATAAAAGAATCATTTAAGTTTAAACTTAAATTTATATATCATTTATAATTTTTATAATTAATTATTTAATAATATCTATTTTTTTTTTTTATTAAATTTGTTTTTATTTAAAATTCTCATAAAATGATCGAATTACTCGAATATTTGTCTCGATCACAAGATTCGAGTACTTAATTCACGAATCACGAGATGACACAAGCCCGATCATCAATTATAATTATTGTCTTTTTTTTTGTTTTTTACATTATAACGACATCTGGTCTGAACCCTTTGCGGTAAACATATATTTATTCTTTACATTCATACTCGTTTCATAATGCTTGTTTTTGAGCTGATAAATAGACTTGAAAGACATCATTTGATTTGAACCAAAAAATAAACTGTTAGATGTCAAGTTCTAAAAATTGCTCTAACGATTTTTTGATACATTTTTTTTTATTTTTTTTTTAACAATATCTAAAATATGTCCGTGTCACGGATGACAGCAAAATTTTTGATCCAATTTCTTGGCTGAAGGATGAAGTTTATATTAGTTAATACTTAAATTACAGAACACGTGTAAAATTGGAACAAAAACCTGAATTCCAAACAAGAATTTCTCTTCATTTCTCAATAATTATTGTTAAATTATTTGCACTCAGTTTGCTATAAATAAAAATACAAATGAATGGTGTTGTTCTTCACATGAATTATCTCATCGGAAAAACGTGCCTTATCTATCCTTTAATTGTCTGAAATTAAATAAAATTACTAGATGTTTATAAAGAACGATGATCTGTTTTATATCATAAATCTTTTAATTCATTTTTTTTCGATATCATTGTTATTTTTTTTATCTTTGCATCTTTCATCCTAATCATACCACCTTATGATATTTCTTTTCGCTTCTTATTGTCTTTAGCCTGTTGGATCAATGCCGTAAATTGTTCACGATATTTATCAGGTAAAAGGATAAATAAAATTTAAATTAAGGCATAATATTTATATAGTTGAATTAAAAATTTTATCTATAAAACGAATCATATAATTAAAAAAAGGATATCATAAGAATCGACTCCTTCCTGATTAGTTAAAGTTTTCTTAAGCAAGTTGGCATCTTTTGCTTCATCACTATGTTGAGCTCTTTCCCATTTCTTCATTTCTCTTAATAATTCTCCTTTGCTCTTTGGATTCGTCGCATCAATATTTGAATTATAAAGATTTGTATAGTAAGAGTGACGAGCTATCATTTCACTTTTAGTTCCATCTGCTGCCAAACCTTCCTCCTATTATGTAAATTTGAAATGTTATTTTAATTGTGATACTTAGGATGAAATCGGATATAAATAATGATTACCTTTAGAAGATTCTTCAATTTCCTGTCATTCATTAAGCTATAAACAACCTTTGGCTTCTTACCATGAGATTTATTTGGAGGGTGAACATTCTTATTCGGGGAAAATAATTCAATATCATCACCAAATGTTCGTCTCTTCTTGTGATTCTGCTTGTTACTATCTTTGCTATCACTATCATATACATGTATTTTAATTGATTTTTCCGGTGTAAATTTTAATAAAGGCTTTTCTTCAAACAATGAAGAACCATTTATTAAATCGGAATTAAGTTTGAAAGGTTTTTCTTTCATATATTTTGACACTTTATCTTCTATCAGCCTAGACTTTTTCTCTTCATCACGACGCTCTCTTTCTTCGACTTGTTTACCTAGAGTGTATAAACGCGCTATTAATTCACTAAATTAGATAAAAACGCGAAGTGATTTTGATCAGTATTGACATCATGATAAATGTTATGATGAATTTTACACTTTTAAGGGAAAAAATATTCTACCTATTGTTTTTATACTCTTTGATAAGATCTTCAATCATAATATTTTTGTAAAACTGTGTAAAGGAGGTGAAGGAGTACCCACAAATAGGGCAACATAATCCAGTCAAATTATTATTACTATCAAATTTTGCACATCCGGCACAAAATGTATGTTGACACTTTGATGACATTGGGAGATCATAAAAGTTTTTGCAAACAAAACATTTTAACTCTGACTCTAGTTTCATTAATTCCTTTATGTCAATATCAACCTGTCGTTTGGAGCGATGAGGAGTCGAATGACGAGAAGAAGGTGGAACTTCTGAAAACGGGTCAATGGTTTCGACTCGGGGATTGAGAGGGGAAGAAGGTATGGAACTATTCTTATGAAAGGGTGGTCGAGTTGGTGAATTAGTTGGTGTAGTAGAAGTTGAGTATTGCATGATCAGTGTATATTTGTCGAGAAAATTTGAACAACAAAGCTATTTTTTATTTTTTATTTTACGCGTCTTTATAAATCCGACAAAATAGGAAATTACACGATTTGTACTGTATCACTATGAATAATAGAATGTAATATAAATAAATAACCTTTTTTATCTTTTTTTTATTGATTTATTTAATTTTCTTATTTTGTTCTACTTGCTCTACTTCACTTTCATTCAAGTTTTCTCTAAACTTTTTAGATTTTTTTCGTTTTTTTTTTCGCTTTTTGCTGTTAGTTAAATCATTAGTATTGACATTTGTAACCAGGTTAGAAGTGTTATCATTTATTTCATTTTCCGAAATACGAATAAAACATGCCACAAAAAATCCATTCGTAAAATCTTCTGGTAGTGTTCGAATAAGTTTATCGGCAGTTTCTACTAATTATTTGGGGGGATTTTGAATAAAGCAACTTAATAAAAATTTGAAATCATATTTTGACAAAAGTTGTAAAAGTTTACAAACCTTCATTGAATTCACTTGAAATACCACGTCTTTCCCAAGTTGGTACAACATCGTTTCGATTAGCCAATAAAAAATCATCAGTTTGTTTTAATACCCGTTGAATAACTTGTTCATTTTCTTGAGGGTGTATTGAACATGTTGAATAAATTATCTTTTTCGCTGAAGGAACTATTTGTTCATCGGAATTAATAATATATAAAAACTCTTTCATCACTCAAACCATTAAGTTCATTGCTTACATTTGAATGCGTGTAAAATGATCTTTTCTTGAAATTCACTTAAATTTTTTAATCGTAGATCTTGTGATTTTTGACTTGTGTCGGATTGATCCGTTTCTTGTTCTTTTTTTTTTTTGAAATAATAAAAATATTAAAGAAATCGAATTTAAGATGCCATTGTATTTTTTGATGAATTCATATTTCAACGAAAAAGAGCGAAATATAATATTCACCAAAAGCATCAACTAATTTGTCCAGTCGGTTTACAATGCCAGACCCGGAACAAGATGGATCAAGTAAAATATATTCAACCTTAGAATACCTTTCATCTAAAGGATCCACATCCAAAAAAGATCCATGTACCGCTTCAATATCTAAATTTATCCCATAATCGTAAATTTTAGGAGATATATCACGAAATTTTTTTTTTTTCCCGCACCTCTAGATAATAATAAAACGAAACGAGAATGATACTTTTACATCCGGCTTTTTGAGTTAATTTCTCCAATAACCTTAATCTTTTCTTATCAAGATCAAAGGCCCAAATTTTCCCAGTATTTTTCATTATAGCCGAAAGATGTGAAGTTTTATTTCCCGGTGCTGCACATGCATCTATTACATGTGAATCAATTGGTGGAGAACAAATATAAGCAGGAAAGCATGAAGCTTTATCCTGATTAAGAAAAACAACATTATTACGAAACCTACTTTTAGAACTCGAAAAAAAAAAGAACACGTACTTGAAGGATTATTTCACCAGAAAGATATAGCGAATGATCATGAAGGTCAGTCTTTGGTGGTAATATTAATAAATCAGGTAAATGAAAATCTTTGCGTATGGTCCTTGTGCTAAATGAATCGCCATATATATACACACATTAAGAAATTGGAATTAACAATAATTACTGAATTACATTCTTACCTTATGTCCGACAACACTTTAATTGGTTCTTCAAGCACATATCCTTTCAATTGAAAGTGTTCAATAACTTTTTTAACGGTAGTTTTAAGAGTATTAACACGAACATAACGCGGAAGAACGACTGTAATAGAATGCATTTTAGCATCTCTCACATAAAAAGGTTCATGATTTGCCAAATCAATATTACCTGAATTACGATAATCAGATGATATCAAATCTTCATTATATTTCACCTTTGATTTGATTTTTAATTTAACGAGTTCGGCTCTCAGCATAATTTCATTTCTCATGATTGCGGTTTTGTAAGGACCATCTGATAAATTCTTTATCCCTCCCGAAGAAAATAATAGATCATGTACTAACAAAATAGCAATATTTCTCGGTAACTAATATTAAAAAAAAAATAATAAAAAAAATAAAATAATTAAATGAAGTTAATTTTTAATTAAACTAATTAAATGTAAAAACCTTTTTTTCAACTTTGAGTAGTTGAGAATTATCAATGATCTGATCAATAACATCTTTATCTGAAATAAAAAGGTACCCAGTTTTTTGATTAACAAATATCATGTAGGCTAAATAAATTTAATTGTAAGTCTTTTGAAAGGGCTATACGCACATTTTAATGTTTCACATATTAAGGCATACATTTTTTTCTTATCCTTAACAGTATCTGCTAGAGTAAGTGACTTAATTGAACCTTCTCTAGCTGATAATTTTGTTAATATATCCGCAGCTTGCTTATAAAAGTTCATTTTTTCATAAAAGCAAATAGATTGATTTGAATTACGGGAGCAAAAATTTGAGATTGAATAACAAACATTCGAAGATAATATATTTTGCTGATTTTAATAATTAATTTTGGCCAGAATTTCAAATTTGATAATCGGGCAAAATTAAAGAATATACTACATGACATATGCAATCGCTAGTAGAAACATGAAAAGTTCTATTAGCATTTCGAATTTGTTGTATCAAGTTCTTTTTGGAATATCCTTTCTTCGAATTGTTCTATTGAAAAAAAAAAGTATCAATTTATTAGTAGATTGAAAATACTATCACATGAGTTTAAATTATAGAAGAAACCTGGGCCTTTTATTGTCAGTTTTAAACAAAAAAAATTTAATCCCATTTACACCAAAATTATCATAAAAAAAGGTAATTTAAAATTACAATTACCACATAAATCTGGACTGCGGCAAGATTAATTTGAACCTTTTTAAGCCTAGCCTGCATGATCATACGTATAAAATATGGTATCCGATTCAAATTCGAGAATTTTATTCATAGTTTTTTTTTAAAAAAATACAAGGATAAAAATAAAATTTTTAGCTAAACATTTTCGCAACTCTTTTTTATTATTATTATTATTATTAAAGGGGAGATTTTTTTTTTTTGTTATAAAGGTGTATGTACAAGAAAAAAAGATAGTAAAATATATTCACAAATTTTGTTTTAAATAATTACACATAATTACAAAGTAAGTTATAATAGGGAAACTAAGGAAAGAATATTTACAAAGTTGTTTAGTTTGGGGAGTTGTGAGAAATGTCATAGAAATCTTAATTTTTTTAGCGAATAATGAAATCTTATGATGTTAAAGAACTCTTAACAATATATATATATATATATATATAAAATAAGTAAACCTTAAAATCATTCAAAAGTTTCTATAATAAATTGTCTTCTTCTTTTTGAACCAAAATTATTATTAGAACCAGATGAAGATGTTGAATTATTTGGAAAATAAGAGCCTTCTAATTCAAATTTCCTGCCTGATGGAGTGCTAACGATTGAAGTGGTGGTTGAAGTTGAAGTTGAGGTTGAGGTAGTTGAATAAGGAGTATCAGGAAATGAAAGAGAATCGCGCGAATTAACGCTCCTTGGCCGCGAAACTAAAGAGGTATTCGGGTTAACTATATTAGACGTGAAAGGGTATTGTTTAAGTGATGAAGAGATAAGAGTTGGAGTTGGGGCTGGTGATAATTGTGGTAAGGAGGTTGGAGATGAACAAGTGGTGTTTTGTGATATGAAGTTTTGTCTGGGTAATGATGTTGATAAGATATATAAGGTCGGTTTATGAGAAGGATACGATGAAGGTAATGATTTGTTATTGAATTGTACCAAATTATTTTGATGATGAGCGAATGAATCAGATGCTCTACGTGGACTTTTACTATTGTAGTGATAATAATTTGACGATAAAGGAGAAGAATATATAGGAGAATTCGAGTAATAAGTTGAGATTGGTGAGAGTTGCTCGTGACTTCTTATTTTTATTGATCCTTTAAAGACAGGTGAATCGGGTGAATCGGACAAAGACACCAGAAGACTTGAACAACTACTGGATCGTGATTGTGATATCGTACAACATGATGAATAGGACGAAGAAAGTGATTTACGACTTTCTCCCGTTCGTGAAGAAACATTATTATTGTTATCAGCTTCTCTTATTATGGTGAATCTTCCTTTTCTGGCTAATACCTCTGTTTCAGAAGATCTCCTTGGAATGATAGCATATCTTTCAATTAATGTAGTTTTCGTTTTATCATTTTCCACATTATCGAATTCTTCGTCAAGTGAATCTTCCTGTAATAGAATATCTGAATCATCCGCTTTTGTTGAAATAAATCTTGAAATTACATGAACTTTTTCCGCGACGTTTTCGGAATCATTTTTCTGGTTGGATTTGATGGTCGATGATGATGCAACCGAACATTTTGTAGCATGATCATCTAGACTGGCCATGATATCATCATCATCATCACCAACTTCATTTTCTCGAATCATATCGTCTTCTTTCAAATTATTTTCTTTATCGATATAATCCATTATCATTTCGTCGTAATCATCATCATGAATACAAACATTATTTTCGATTACATCAAAAGTATTTGTTATATTCTCTTTATCAGTAGTTTGTAAAATAATTTTATTCCTTGAACTTTTTTTTCTAGAGTAACAATTTGTTGTGGCTGGCCAGATATGATGTAACCTTATCAATGCATTCTTCCAATTCTTTTTCCTTTTGCCATTTTTTCTAACTTTTTGTACATCAACATCGACGGTCGCAATGGTATTATTGTTAGGTAAATCGCCAACGGTTAAACCAAGAGAGGTCGATGTATTTATATTATTAAAGTTACCATTTATGGATAATCTGCTCTGCGTATTCTTTTTTTTAAAAAAGTTGAAATGTGGCATTGATATATATATTATTTATAATATATATATTATATACTACACGCTGTGTAAGAAAAAAAAAGAAAAAAAAAAACAAGTTTAAAAATTATAACTTGAATTTTTAAGAGAAAAAGAAACAAATTTTTTTTTTTGGTCCACTTTCAAAGATTTTTAATGTGTATTTATATTAAAAAAAAATTCGGAAAAAATATCCTTTTCGTAGTAATTTAAATTATATATAATATCAGTTTTATTATTAATAAATTTACAAAAAAAAGTTGAAACTCATTCGAGGAGCAAAGCTATAACTTAAATAGAAGATTAACACCATAACACTCGAGATTGCATAAACCTTTTTATGCAATAAGAAGTACTTTTTTATATCAAAAAAAAAAGATTTTTTACTTTTCACGAATATATATAAATAAAATATAAAATTGGCAGGTTACACGTTAATAGCTGATAATCAAATCATACAAAATTGAACATTCGAGTTGCAAAGATATCATCTGGTCCCACTGATTTCAAAAAAAAGGGAATAGAAAAAAAGAGACCTTTTTTATTATTTTATTTATATTTGCAATTGTTGAGTTTCAAAAATTTTCGACTATGCTTAGCTCAAGAATATATATAGATATCTGTGTCTGTATGCGGGTCTTTGTATATATATCTTGGGAATGTATACGTTGATGGCATTCTTTCATGTTCCTTTATGCGATTCCTGATTGGTCGATAAGAATTTACATCATAAAGAAAATATTCAAAAGAATTGTATCTTATAAACAAAAAGACGGATTTAAATCACATTTCTTTTAAAAAAGAAATTATGACAATAAAAAGAAAACCTCCCATTCTTACAAAACTTTTTAAGAAAAAGTGTTGACCCCCACTAAAAAAAAAAAAAAATAACAAATAAATGGTCATCATACAGCTTTTGTTTATTTGATAACTTATATTTTCCAGATTTTTAATAGGAAAAAAATTTTTTTTACGGAATTAAGCGGGTTCTTAAAACTTTATTTGGTTGTCACACAACCTTTACTGATTATATAATTCATAAACGGTAAGAATGTGTCAAATCAACTTGTCAAACCCTCATGACGCGATTAATTAAAAATTGTTTATTAAAAGATTTTCTACAATATAAAAAACCTTAATTTGTAATACCAAGAAATTTTCAATAAAATAATATTACAAACAAAAAAAAAATTCAGGGGCTCATTTGTAAGATCATTTAGATAATTTAGTATTCTTTTTAAAATTTATTTATAATTATAATTATAAATATTATACTATATATATCACTTAATATATTATTTAATTGTTTAATTAAATAATTTATATTATAGTAATCTAAAATTTAAAAGAAATTAAAGATAATTCTTTAAAATAAAAAATTCAAATTTTATTATATATTAATTGCAATTAATATTTATAATTAATATTAATTAAATTCTATTAAACATTTATAATAAGATAAATATATGGAAGCTTATCAATAGAAAATGAGAAAATATAACAACTTTTTTTTTTTAGATTTTCTTTCTTTTTATTGATAAGTTCCATATAGTAAACTATTAATTTTTTATAAGTTATTTATAAAATTTTATTATATTTTATTAAAATTATAAATTTTAATACTTTAAATTTTTAATTTTAATCTAATATATATTTTTATTATAAGAATATAATTTAGATTTAATTAAATATATAATTAAAATATTTATATAAATCAGATAGCTATTTATTATTTTTTAAAAATATGTTTAAGTTATATATTTAATGTATATGTACTTTTTAATTATAATTGCATTTAATTTTAATTTATTAATAATTTAGGAATAATAAAATTAAATGTATAATAAAGATGAGAACTGTAATTAAAATATTGAAACTTTAATGTTATAATATATATTACAATTAGTTATAACTAAAAATACCTTCCTAAACTATTTTTAGAAAATTTGAATTTGAGATATTGAGATTAAACTATTTGTTTATAATAAATATTCTTATCTAAACTTCTAATAGGTTTTCCTAAACTCAATTAAGATTAATCAAGTTTCTGATTTAATAAAAGTCATTTTAAAGGTTTTTGAAAAAGTTTCTAAATTTTTAAGCTATACGTTAAAATAGGTTTTAAAAGCATTATTGGTTATAACCTATATATATAGGTAATTTATAATGTTATAATATATATTATAATCAATTTTAACATATTTTACAATAAGTTGCAAATTTTAAATTAATTGCTGCATTATTTTTACTGTAAAATCTAAATTTATTTATTTAAAAAATATATTTGATTGGTATTATTATTATTTAAAACTAAAATTTAATAGTTTAAACTTACTGAAACTTGTTTAATTAATAACCAAAACTACTAAAATTAGTTTTATTTAATTGAAACTAATTTTTAATAATTTAGAAATATTTGATATTAAAAATAAAAAATTTTTTAATAGTTTTATATATATATTGATAAAAATAATTTATAATATAAAACATATAATTAAATATTATGCTTTTTAAAACTTTAATATTTTAAAATATTATCAATAATTTAATATAAATTTTTTTTTATTAATTATTTGAAATGAAATAAAAAACAAATTCTTGTATTATAATAAATGTTTTATCATAACTTCTAGAAAATTATATTTTTTATTTATATCATTGATAAAAATACCCCCTTAAACTATTTTTAGATAATTTAAGTTTTGAAATATTTTAGATTAAACTATTTATTTATAATAAATCTTTATTTAGACTTTTCTAAACTCAATTAAATCTAATCAAGTTTAGATTTAAAAAAAATTATTTTAAAGGTTTCAAAAAGTTTCTAAATTTTAAACTATACATTAAAATAGGTTTCAAACAGCATTATTAGTTATCTATATATATTTCTTATTGGTTTCATTTAATTTCTTATTGGTTTTTTTTTAATTTTATAGATTTTTTTTGTAATTTATAATATTTACCTTTAGATAATATTGATATTTTGTAATATTGTTGTATTTTAATATAATAACAAATAATATAAATTATATTATTAATATAAATTGGTAAATTATATATCAAACTTTATAAAATTATTAATAAAAATCATATAGATTATTTTTAACAATATATATAAGTTAAAATACTTTAATTCTAATATTATTATTATTAATAAAATTTTATTTTATTTTTTATATTTAGCTAGTTTTTTTAATTATAGTAGCTTTGGATTTTTATTTTGTTATTTAGATTATATATACTATATTTAATAATGTTTATTATATATATTTGTATATTTTAATAAATTAAAAGATTATATTTATATTCTATATATAAATAAGAATATATAATTATATAATTATGTATTTAATTTTTTATTTAATTTTTATATTAAATTTTATTTTATATAATAATTTAATTTATATAAATATTATTATTTCATTATTTAAGTAAATAAATAAGTTCAATTTTATTAAAACCTAATACGATTTAATTATCTTTAAATTTATATATAAATAATTTAAATTGATTATTCTATATATTATAAGGAACTGCCAACAATAAGGACAAAAAAAAAACGGTAATAACTATGACGCCAACGTGAAAGTTAGTTATTTTTAAAACAATTTATTTATATATAGAATAGGCGTTTTATATTTAAAAACAATGAAACGCGAAAGTTTCTACTTGACAAACCAAATATTACATTTTTACCTTTTGAACTCACTCTGGTGTATTAGATTTTGACAAATAATCTTTCAATGTTTTTAATATTTTAAAAGTGTTTTTGAACGAAAAAAATCTTTTCCTCATGATTTACACGCTATAATTTACACATGGAGTATTCCTTTTTCATGTGCAGAACTGTAACTATAATTTGATTATGCAAATTCTCCCATTTTGTTAGATAAATTCCATTAGAAATTTACACATGGAGAGATGGTTCCTTTCATATGCGCTCAATTATAATGGTTCTTATAAGTGCTTTTAAAGCAAGGTTATTTATTTATAACATTACCTTTTTTTAGACCGAAATTAAAAGGCTAGTTTTTTCTTTCATCCGGGTATTTTTTTTTATTGATTTATTGATCTAACAGGATGCTTTCTTCAAACCAATGATTGTTTCATATCGTATTAGGGTTGATATCCATTTTTACAATAAGGATTCATACATCAACTTTTAATTTTAGCTTCATTAAGAAAAAACCTTTAATGATCTCTACAATCATTTAGTAACTTTTTTTCTTTCTTAAAGACCTATTTCCAATAAAAACTCACACGAAATTACATATTCTCACAGAATCGTACATTTCAAACAGTTTTCAAACGTTACAAATGAAATTTTATTTAGTTATATGATTAATAATATACATTATCGTACATAATTATAAGAAACTTCCGTTTCAATTCTTGATGATCTCGCATCACAATTATTATTATGCCATTTACTGTACATACAATACATACAAGCATGCACAATGCACATATTATTATCATATTATAACTTACATCCATGTGATCATAATCACAGATAAGAAAAGAATAGTGTGATGGTAGATAATAAGTACATATTTCTAATCGTGAGAAAATTTCAATATTAATTTAGTGATTTCGGCGTAATTGAAGATAATATAATCTTAATGATCAAAATTTATTATTTTGGTTGATTAATAATTAAACACAAAAATATTTAAAACAGAATAAACATCTTATTCTATTGAAGATTTTCATAAAAAAATTTTTTTTCTCTCAATCTCCAAATTTTTGTAAACTAGTTAAAATATCAACCCCACTCAAACTGTTAGCTAATGCCATAATAGATTCGGACGTGCTGCTATCCGCAACAGAATGTTTCTCTGAAAATATAACAACTAAACTAACAAAATCGTCAATACGAACAAAATAATAAGCACTGCCTACTTTTTTATCGAAAAAGTGAATCGGCGCAGTTCGAAAGAATGGTGTGATTTTCTTCGGATCCTTATCTTGCATTATTGATATAATGTTTGGCATGTGACTCT